AAAGGAATGAAGTGCTGATACATGCTCTAACACGGACGAACCTTGAAAACGTTATCCCAAGTTTAAGAAGCCAGACCGAAAGGCCACATCGTGGATGAGTCCACCTATATGATGTCCAGAACAGGCAAATCTACAGACAGGAAGTAGAGTAGTGGATGCCTAGGGCTGAGGGAGTTGGGGAGAAATGAGGAGTAATTGCTAGCGGGCACAGGAAATTCTTTTTGGGGTGATGAAATGTTCTGAAATTGGTAGCGGGGAAGGTTGCACGACTCTCTGAATATACGATAAATCACTGAATTGTACACTTAAATGGATGAATTGTATGGTATGTGAATTGTATCTCAAAAAATCGATTAAAAATGAAGAGGTGTTGGGAATTCCCTGGTGGTCCAGTGGTTAGGACTCCCCCACTGCAGGGGGCCCGGGTTCCATCCCTGGTCTGGGAACTAAGATCCCGCAGGCTGCGCAGCCAAAAAAAGAAGAAGAGGAAGAAGCAGTGTCAAACAGAAGAGACTAGCGTTTACCTTTCATGCTGACACACACGATGGCTGACACGGTGCATATGATAACTGCCAGCAGAATGATGAGCACGATCAGGTAACTGCTGAGCAGGACGCCACCAGGACAGTCCAGCTTCCCTCTGTGCATGAGGTACAGCGTCAGGATGCCGATCCACCTGCCGAGACACAGGTAGCGTCAGAAATGGAATCCAAGGAGCCGCTTTGAAAAACACAATGGAAGGAAGTAAATGGAGTTAATACTTTCCAAAACAAGGCGAGGTTCACTTTGGAACTGAATCTTCCTCAATAACATATTTACTAAGTCAATTAAAGAGTATGGCTTTTTTTTTATTTTTAATGAGCTTTATACTTTCTATGCTTACATCATTGTTTTTATTCTGTGCCTGTTGTAATACATTTAAAGCCATAAGTAAGCAAATATAATGTGAACTGCTGGAAAGTTGCCCCATCATGACTCCAAAGTATATACTTGATCAGTCATCAGCAAGAGAATTTTTACTTCTGTGGATTAACAAGAAACTGACAAATGCACGTCGTAATCTGCTGGGTGTAGTACAAAAACAAGGGGATGGGAAGCAAGCTATGGAAAGATGTTCTGTGGTGAACACTGATCAACTTGAAAGGACAAGGACTGCAGACTCGTAAGTATATTTTGTAATTCAGGACAGAACAATGAAAGGCAGCACCCAACAATGCAACCTCATAGTGGTTCTTCACTAGAGTTATTTCAGAATCCGGCAGGGAACCATTTCGCGAGAACGCGGTATTAGAGATTCAAGGCCAGAAGAGGAACTGGACTAGATAACTTTTTATGCTTTTGTCAGTTTTGTGATATTACATCCTTGTCTAGAAATAATAACGGGAAATGATCTCAGAAAGACTGGCCCTGAAAACTATGAAACAACTAAGAAGCAGCTCATACTTTCATGTTTTTAAATTCCTCTCCCCTTAAGAATCTACTTTTTAATAACGATGATATTACTCTTCGCTCAGACCCTCTGGGACTGACTTTCAGGCACCCAATTCCACTCCCCACGGATTCCACATTTTGAAAGACTAGAGAGAAAATGCCAGTCCTGTGTGCTCGTCGAGGGATTCAGCCACAACCGGCTCAGGAACGGCACGAACGGTATTGTTGCCATTCCTGCGTTTGGCAGACAAGATGCAGTGCGTTTCCATGCAGAACGCTGAAGCGATGCTGATGGCTGTTCCCGGCTCGAGGCAGGAGGTCCCGAGGCCACGGCTTTGGGCGGCAGCGCAGTCCCGGCGGCTCCCAGGCCCGGGTCTCGACGCCCCGGAGGGGTGCCCGTGCCCTGCAGCGCCGACGTCCCGCCGGCGGGCCCACCCCATGACGCCGGGCACGGCGTCCCCGCTCTGGGCCGCCGTATGCTGTCTGGAAATGGGGAGAGCAGCGGCACCCACCTCCTCGGGCGGTGGAGAGGACCAGGTACAAGAACGCAGGGCAGGCGACACGGTCCCTGCCCTCGACCGCCTCGACCCCGCTCCCTCCTCCGTCCCGGCCGCCCGCTGCCCGCAGAGCCCGCCCTCACCACAGCACTCGCACGAACAGCTCGAAGACCCCCGGGAAGACCAAGTCGTCGCTGGCGATGGCCCAGCGCCGGCCGAACAGCACCATCCCCGGCATAGCGAAGTACCCGCCGCCCGGGCTCGGGCCGGCTCGCCGCGAGCGCGCTGCCACTCGGAGCCCCAAGCCCTCCGGTCTCCACCGCCGAACCGCGACTCCGCGCAGGCGCACGCTGGGGCGGGTGAGGGGGGGAAGGGGGGAGAGAGAGTGAGAGGCCGAGACCGGCGCACGCGCACTGAGCTCCACGCAGCGGCCGCTGGGCCTCTGCGCCTGCGCAGGTGAGCTGACCCGGAAGACGCAGGTGGGCCTCGTAGGGACTTCGCAGGTATGAATTTTGTAGATAAGGAGTCTTCCTGACCCGAAGGGTTAGCTAGCCCAGAGACCCCCAGCAGTCAGTGGCGGATCTGGAGTTCATACCCAGGTCTGTGGGGCTGCAAGCCTATGACGAAGTTGCCCCCAGCCCCGACCGATCCTGGGATCAGGAGTGCCTCTTTGGGACCATTCCCTGGTTCAGGGCCTGAAGCCACACGGCAGCTTTGTGCTGGGGAGTGGGGAATAACCTGATCTGCCCTCCTTCCTCCCGAGCAGGTTCTGACCACTTCTCAGCCCCTCCACGCCCCTCCACCCTGGCCCAAGCCCCCTTCATCGTGTACCTAACCCGGTCTCCCTACTGCTCTCCCCCACTCTGCTACCCCACCTACGGTGCATTCTCCCTACAGCAGCTGGCGTGACCTTGTTGAACCGTCAAACGAGGCCCATCAGCTTAGGATCTTGCAAGGCTGCACTCCAAACCCCTAGAGAAGCTTTTCCTTGGTAGTTATACAGCATAAGTCTGTAAATGCGTGATTATCTGCCTTCCCGGGTTAGGGTTACTACTTTCTCCCTCCTTCACTCCACTGCCTGCCACCTTTTTTCCCCTGAAATACATCAAGCTTATTCTCGCCCCAAGGTTTTCAAAGTCCCCGTGTCCTTTGCCAGGGACGTTCCTCCTGCAGGTATTTCCCTGTCACTCTCTCACTTCATTCAGCCCTCAGCTCAAGTGTCACTGCCTCAAGAGCCTTCCCTGGCCACTTTATCTAAAACAGCCCACCCATCGGTTCCCGTTCCTTTGCCCAGCTTTGGTTTCCTTCACAGCTCTTAATCACTCCCGGACATTGTATCACATGTGTTACCGCTCTCCTTCCACCTTGAGTGTGTTAAGTTGCCTGAGCCTGGAAACCTTGTCCATCTTGTTCACTGCAATGCACATAATAGAGCACATTAAATGCACTTATTAAATACTTGATTAATGAACAAACAAACATTAAATGTCAAAATTTTCCAAGTCCGAAGAACCTTCAGTGGTCTTCTAAAGGGCAGAATTTCAGAGTTAAATAATGTTAAAAAAAAGTAATAATAATAAACTGTATTGACGGTTGTGAAAATGATACAGGGAATTGTAAACAAGGAAGTTATGAGATTTTTATAGAAAAAGAGGATCATTCAATCATTCATAAAATAAATATTTATTGGGCACTTGGTGTGGCCAGAAGTGACTTAATCAGAGAGGTCAGGGAAGACTTTCCCTGAAGAAGATATTAAAATGAGATCTGGAGGAAGAGTAGCAATTAAGGTGAAAAAGGGTGATTCAGAAGTTAGAATGTTGTGCCTGTGATGACATACATTCTTTTTTTTTTTCCCAGTTTAAATAAAAGAGGGAATTTATTAGAAGAATACAGTTTCTTATGGGGACTCCAACAGCAGAAGTGGGTTAAGAGCTAGAAAGAAGCCTTTCTGGAGGACAGGTCATGTTGTAACCACAAACGTTTACTTCTGGGTTTTGCAAGAACATGAATAGGATATCCTAGAGGTCAGTCCTCCCTGCATAGTGCATAAGGGACTAGAATGTGGCTTCATTTCTGCTGGCTTTTTGATCCTTACATTCCTTTATGCTGGCTTCAAACGTATCAAGCACATGTTGGCAGATGTCTATTCATGAGCTCAGTCAGGCCTCTCTGAAAGGGCTCAACAGCTGGAAGGGCACTTCGAGTCTGTATGTGCAAATTAATTTTGCTCTCTGAAGGATGGGTTGTAGTGTAACCACGAAATTCCACTTCCGGGTTCTTCATGATCATGTAACGAAGAGAATTTCCCAGGATATCGTCCTCCTCGTGCAATACAAATGTCACACAGTGTCTATCTGTCCCAGCTGCCTGGACCATTTCCAGGGCTGTCTTCCTCTCGTCTTCAGCCATTGGGGTCTTCAATCCAGCCAAAAATAAATGAATTAATTTAAAAAAAGAGTAAACAAATTTTTTTAAGGTAAATGTATTTTTTTTAATTAATTTATTTTTGGCTGTGTTGGGTCCTCGTTGCTGTGCGCGAGCTTTCTCTAGTTGCGGCGAGCAGGGGCTACTCTTCGTTGTGCTGCATGGGCTTCTCATTGCAGTGGCTTCTCTTGTGGCAGAGCACTGGCTCTACGCGCACCACCTTCAGTAGTTGCGGCACACGGGCTCATTAGTTGTGGCTCGTGGGCTCTAGAGCACGGGCTCAGTAGTTGTGGCACAGGGGCTTAGTTGCTCCATGGCACGTGGGATCTTCCTGGACCAAGGTTCAAACCCGTGTCCCCTGCATTGGCAGGCGGATTCTTAACCACTGCGCCACCAGGGAATTCCCTGTATTTTGTATAGTTCTAATCACTGCAGGTATATTCTGCCATTTCCACATTAACAGTATTCCATTGATTGAATTAGAGCTATTGTATTTATTTATTTTTTAATATTTGTTTTATTTGGTTGCACCAGGTCTTAGTTGTGGAAGGCAGGCTCCTTAGTTGCGGCACGTGGGCTCCTTAGTTGTGGCATGTAAACTCTTAGTTGCGGCATGCACGTGGGATCTAGTTCCCTGACCAGGGATCGAACCCAGGCCCCCTGCATCAGGAGCGTGGAGTCTTATCCACTGTGCCACCAGGGGAGTCCTGAATTGGAGCTATTTTAAAACAATATATTGTGCCATCGTGTGGGTATGTCATACAAAGCATAGACGACCCCTTATTTTACAGTTTTTTTTCAATTTTCTATTAAAAATAGCTATTTTAAAAGTTTTTAAAAATCAACGTTAAAAAATAACTATTTTTTGTTACCTCCAAATGAGATATCCAAGTCAAAGCATAGCTCTTGAAAAGGTGAATGACCCATCATGACTTCTAAATGATGAAAATTTTCAAATACAGAGAAGATGTCTGATACCTAAGGACCCACCATCCGATTTAACAAGGGATAACATCCTGCCATATTTGCTTCATCTTGAATTTGGTGGTGGTGGTGGGGGAGATCTTTGATATCCTTCCCTGCTTCTTCTTTCAGGTTAATTTCACTATGTATCTGCAAATAACAGCAGGTATTCTTCAGCGATTTCTTGGCATTTCAGTTTACCTTTATATTAACTTGAAGAAACTGATCTTTATTCTGTGTTTCAAACTGATTCACATCTTCCTCTATTTCTCCCTTTAGGACTGGATTTTCTTTGAGTAAACCCCTATGTTCTGAACAGGATTAATATGCTTGGATTTAATGTTTGCTCTATTGTCTGTGTCAGATGGGGGTTGGGATGGGGGCTTTTAGCCAGGTGATCTTTCCATCAGTTAGACAGTTGTTTCTCTGAGCATTCTTTAAAGCCCTGAGATCTTCAGTTCTCAGAACTTGAAGTAAACACATCACTTAGTTTTAGGGCACACCAGTTTTCCTATTACAGAACTATTTATTGTCTTAGAAAACTTATGAGTAAATAGGTTCTGTATTTCCATTCCATTTTGGTAATGGAGACTCACTTTTTAAGTACCCAAGGTCACACTAGGTCAGAAATCTGGAATATTACGTTCTGGTGGTATAAAAGTATCCTTGTCATTGTTTAAAAGGACTAGTGCTATATCATGCTGCAACTTGCTTTTAAATTGCAGGGACAAATTGTTCCAGAACGGGAAGAGAATGCCCTGCCCAGCACCTGCACAAGACTCTACACTGCAAAGGCTAACCCAGATCAGTTGGCAGGCGAGGGAGCAGTGGTTACTGGGCAGAGTGCAGGTTCCTTGGAGTTTCTACATTCAGCCACTACATGGTGAAGCACACAGGAGAAGACCCCACATGGAGCCCCAATCCAATCAGCCCTCATCAGACCTCACTGACAGCAGGTTTTACAAGGTACGGGAGTCACTTTCTGAAGATGCAAGCTCTCTAACAAGGGCAAAACTACTGAAGTCGTCAAATGGGTCAAAGGAACTCTGGCCGAACTGGTTCCAGCCGGCTTTCAAGGCAGCTGTCCCAAGTTAAGCACAAAGAAGGGGAGGGGAAAGAGGGCCCCTGAGGTCCTGAGCACTTGATGTACCCCAAGCTCTGTGTTGTGAGCTTCAGAACATGGGCTCATCTACACCTCGCAGAAATCCTGTGGCAGGAGTCTCTGCTGGTAACTGAGCGGGAACAAGGCTCACGTTAAATCCAAGGTCAGAGCTAGAGTGTGGGGGAGCCAGGACTCAACACAAGTCTGACCCCAAAGCTTGTGCCTTACCTAGCATTCCCACAAACCACTTACGATTTCTACTGAAATGGAATCTTTGCTTGATCTTTCCAGGAAACTGTCCAACCAATTGGTATCTTTGGAAAGGCTGGGCTGGATCTTCCCTAGCAAGCCTTCCACCTGCAACTTTTTTTTCTCCAGCCATTTCTCTCTTTGACCCGACTATAAAAAGCAGGAAACCTTCCTCTTCTTCTTTTCTTTGGCCATGCTGAGCAGCTTTCAGGATCTTGGTTCCCCAACCAGGCACTGAACCCACCACAAGTGAGGCGCCGAGTCCTAACCACTGGACCACCAGGGAACTCCCTGGGAAACTAGGATGCCTGTGATTGAACTGGACAGGGAATGGATTGGTGTCTGTAAGCAGCCAACAGCCAGCAGCTTTTCAGAGTTACTTAGTGGGCAAATTTGTTAACTTTTTAAAATTTCCCTGTATGTTTACATTAAAAAAAATTCACACAAATAAAACAGCTCTATCAAAAGTATGAATTACCTGATAACCTTTATTCAGGAAGTGAGAGTAATTCTGAAACAGTGCTTCGTGAGGTGCATCAGACAATGCCTTTGTTTCCAGCGTGTGCAAGGATGCTGCCCAGTCCTGCGCTCCCCTAAGGCACCTGTTAAGATGTCATCCTGGTGGGCCACAAGATGGTGGCAGCATCTTAGCCGGCTTTACAGTTACTTGGGCAGAATGACTGAAGGAGGCACTGACACTTCATGAATCAGGTGCGGAAGTCCCAGATCCTCGCTCTACGCATCGTGCTCTCCAACGAATGATCCCAGCCTGTGTTTGATTTACATGCACAAAAACAAGTGTGAGACCCCCACCCATCCCCAGCTTGGGCCGCAAGGAGTCTGCTCCACTTAGGACACGATTTCCTACCCTTCCTCCACACTATCAGAATCTTCCAAGGAGGATGAAAACAGAAACAAAACTAGGATGCCAGAAAGAAAGATACTCTGATACAGAAAAGCAAAGACATGCGGGGGGTCGGGGGGTGGGAATGAGAGAGAGAAAGACAGGAGGTTAAACTATGCAGTTATACTGCTTATTTGGAAAGATGTTATGAGACACACTAGATAAAAGTAAAACCCATCCAGCTCCCTTCCTCCACAAGGTATTTTAATGCAGCAAGCAAGAAGACTACATCCTTCTTGTAGTAAGCACGTTAGTATTCAACACGTTAACATTTATGGTGCATCACATAAAAACAAAGTCAAATGCTTTTGCATAAATCAAAAAAACACAGCAAACCAATACAATGGCAAAATCAGGAGGAAAATTCCAAATTTTCTAAAAAATACAGAGGGTTTTAGATTATTAAGTGGAGAACAAATGTTTGCAGCCCTATGTAGAGCTTTTGTTGCCAATCGAAAAACATAAAAACCCATCCTGACACAGGATGTTCCAAAAGCCTAATTCAGAAAAAAGACAGTTTCTTCTATGTTTAGTAAAATGTTTATTTAGGATGGTAACACAAGATAAGTCACGCAAGAGCTCAGTAAAAACAAAACAAAAAACAAAAAAAAGTAAAAGGAATGGCAATTGGTGCTGCCAGTTAAAAAAAAGGAAATCACTTTGCTATCCAAAAGTGGTATGAAGAATCTGAGCATAGACATGGTTGTAGTAATCTTCTGTAACTATAAATTAAAGTGATAGGTAACTACTCGTGTTCCACTTCTCAGAGGAGTCCTAGATCCAAAATAATCACAAATGCTTCCTGCACCTCACGCTCAGACAGCAGGCAGCCCAGAGCCCCTGCCCACCGAGCTCTTTAACAGCCTTGGGACAGTCTCAAACTGACACTTCTTAGTAGGGGAGGAGGGCAGGCACCTTTGCTGACTCCTAAATGAGACTCCATCGACATTCAGAATCTTAAAATTTTGGTAATGAAAACCGTAAGACTTGCAAGTCACCCTTACCAGCTTTAAATGTAGTGTTGTGACGTCCAAGGAAGGATTTCCACATCAGGTGGGAAGTGATTTGAACAGATGTACCAAACTGGACACAGTGTCTCAGATTTCAAACAAAGATAACTCATCTCTTGGCAAAAAAATAAATATAGTGGAATGCAAGTTTGATAGATGGAGGAATATATAATCTACCAATTGTCAAGGAGTATGATTTCATTGCAGACACAAAGAATCAACAATTTCAAAGAATTTAAAAAAAAGTTTGCACTTATTCCTCACAAAATCTTCACTTTTGCAACTATCCCAATTGAAGCTACACACTGACTTTATTAATACAGCATTAAGTTTCTTTGTGTAAAAAAATCTTTGTACATAGTAATAAAAAAAGGTAAGGCAAGATGCACTGAACAGAAACCTTCTGGTTCTTCCCCTCTGGGTTCTTACAGAGCCATAGATGACTATCTGCAACAAAAGAGTTAAGTTTCTGATTTTCCATATGAAGCATCTTGTGCCTTTGCTGTGGTAAGAATTCTGTCCGAGCACCCTGAAGGACAGATGCTGGTCATGGTCTTTGGCACTTACGCTGGCAGACTGAGCTTCTTTCCCTTGAGTACTAGAATTTTCAAGAGAGGGAGAAAAAAACAAAAGGTTACTGATCCTGACAAGCTTACAGTTTCCTCCTTCCCATTCCCAGAAGTCTGTCATACAAGATACTACATAGTAAGGTCCAAGGAAATAAGCTTCTGGCAACCAACAGGCGTCTGATTTTGGTGTCAATAAACAAAGCCCTCTGAACTATGGAAGTGTCACGCACACACAGACCGGAATTTTCTTCATGTATCTGGATGCCACAGCAATTGAATTTAAAAATAGTAATTCAATTGAAATTGTCACTAAATTCACAGCAGCTTTTTTTTATCATGACTTTCTTCCCTAATTAACATGTACTGAAACATAACTGTTAAGATATTTTGGATGTTAAAAAAGGAGATAAGATACATATGCCCTTATAACTAGCAATTCCACCATTAGGAATTTTATTGCATAGCCAGGATTCTTAGCCTGGGATCTGTGGTTGGGTTTCAGAAGCTCCTGAATTCCCTAAAACTCTACGCATATATTTGTGTGAATATGTCTAACTGTGCATTTTTTTCTCAGCAAGGACCATGGCTTTCATCAGATTTTTGTGACGTTCACACATCCTCTATTCATACAAATGCAAAAATATACACATACAAGGATGCTGATATAAGCACTGGATTTTTAAGCCCAAACACCCATGAACAGCGGGCTGAGTAAGTAAATTATGGTAATCCACATAATACTCTATCGCTATTAAAAATTATGTAGATGTCTGGGAAAAAGAGCAGATTATAGAATAACATGTTTAGTTGAAATCATGTGTCATTAAATGATTACATTTACTGAAGCATTAACAATGATTATTTCTGAGTGGTAGGATTCTGGGTGATTGTTTTCAGAATTATTAGTTCTGACTGATTTTACAATGAAAACGTGTCATTGTAGAAAACAATAAAGTTACAGAAAAAGAAAAAAAAAAAAAGCCTGACAACCCTGACCGAGAATTTAACTGGACAGTCATTAAAAGGTTCCTCTGAAGCCAGTTCTGCTTTCTGAGCAAGTGTCAGATTAGGAGCATGCGAGGCAAGGAGAGCCCCTAGAAGAACACACGGCCGTACAACAAAGCTGGCAGGACGCAGCCCAATGTACCTTTTGTAATGTACAAGTAGAAGAAGTCGCAGTACAGGATGGTCTGGACAACGCCGGCCACCACAGCGATGAGGTCAAAGAAGCCCTCAAAGTAGAAGCGCCAGATCCAGTTGACAAGATACAAAGCACGGTAGAGGCCCAGGAAGAACAGGTAGTGGGTGGTGATGGTCTCAGCCTCCCCGGTCTTGCTGATCATGAAGAGCTGTGGTAGGATAGCCACTGACTCAAGGTAAATGGAGAAGGTCCACAAGATCTGTAAGAGAAACAGCACGCTTTGGTCAGCATCCAGCGCCCGCCGTGAGTTCACAGGAAACACTCTTGCTTTACTGTGAAGTAGCACAGAGTGGGGAATCTGGCATCAGAGCCCAGGCCAGAGTAGCTTTGCAATTTAATAAATCACAGAAACTTCAGCCACAGATAAAAGGCACGGACGCTCCCAGTGACAGGCTGGACAACCTGCACAGCTCCACCTCTTGGACTTTCATCACCTTGCCTCTCCAGCGTTGCATTCTTCAATTTTCTGGGACTCTACGTATGTGCTGCTTCCCCTGCGTCAGCTTATCCCACTCCGAATCTAGGGTCCCTAATTTCTGCTTTCTGCCAGGGTTGACAAGACTGATGACTGGGTCCTTCCACTCCCTCACTGCTGTTTTTCCTCACCAACTGGGTCTCCTTTCCAGGCTATTTAAATCGTCTCACTATTTTTCTTATCCTTCAGGCTCTTTTAGCATGGTTAAATCAAAGGGGTAGGAAGTCAGAGCTGTAATCATGCAAACTCTCTGCCCAACACAGCACTTCATTCACGATGACGAAAGGAGGACTTGTGAGTAGTCCCTGAAGTGTTTCAAAACCCAGGCGCTCCCTGCACCATCAGATGACCACCGTCAGCGCGGTAACTGAATCAAGCCCAGGACGCTCAGGGGTGGGCGGAGCACGTAGGAGCGCTGGGGCACCACGCTAACTGCGCTTCCTGAAGACGAGGACTGAAGCAACGCTGCTTAGGTGATTCGCAGACGGCACCAATGAGCGAAGCCCGCGCACGAAGAGTGGGAGCGGGGAGAAGACCGTGTGCTTCAGACACTCAGACAGGCAGCGCACTGTGCTTGGAATCACAGAAGCCAAGTTTATATTCTAAAGGAGAGTCAGAGACACCCAAAGAGGTGTCTAACCTGGGTGCTTAATTCCTGCCCACGATTTATTTACACCAAACCATGTATGTCTGCCAACCCACCGCCCCGCCCCCGCAAAAACCAAACCAAAACAGAACCCCATTACCTGCAAACGGGTCTATTTCCCTAGGGAACCAGACAGGATTACTAAATAGCCTCTTAACTAACCTCAAGAGGAGAGAAGTCATGATTGACTAGAAACGAGAGGCCTCCCACAGGGACCACCAGAAACTCCACTCTGAAAGTATCATGATTTCCATCGTAGGTTGCCTTAAATTTCATGTAGATCAGGTACACTGTGGCATAGGAGCAGGCAATGTAGATAAGCTATAAAGAAAAAAAAATACTGGGTCATCAATATCTTAAAATTGCTCACACTCTCTTGGCTGTCTACATCATCCATATGTATACACACACACACACACACACACACACACACACGTGTATATATATATATATTTTTTTAATTTAAAATATATACTTTTTTGGAATATACGGTTCTATAAGTCATATAACCACCACCAAAATCAAGACACAGACCAGTCCTAACACCTCCGCCACCCCAAATTCCCTCATGCTGCCCCTGCAGAGTCAAGCCTTTCTCCCAGCCTAACCTCTGGCAATCACTGATGAGTTCTTGGTCCTTGCAGTTTTTGCCTCTTCTAGAATTCCATTCCATAAATAGAATCATAACCATATGTCAACTTTAAGATCAGCTTCTTTCAGTTAGCATAACGATTTGAGATCCAACTGTGCTGTCATGTGTATTAAGAACTGGTCCCCCCATATTTCAAAGCAACAGCCCATGTCTGGGTGCCACAGCTGTTCATCCACCCAGCAGTTAAAGGACAGGTGGGTTGTTCCCAGCTTGGGAGATGGTGGGTAGAGCTGCTGTGAACATTTGTGTACAGGCTTTTGTGTGAACGTAAGCTTTCATTTCTCTTGGGTAAATACCTACAAGTGGGATTGCTGGATCATATGTTAAGTGTTAAGTTTAACTTTACATAAGAGACTGCAAAGAATGTATTTTTAATCTCATTTTAAACTATTAGAGGGTAGCTTTAGAAAAAAAGTGAACGGGAAGTTCAATGCAGTTCAAAACCAACGCACTTCCTTACAGCATGAAGATATTTCTGAGCTAGTGCTTTATCTAAAGATAAGATAAACAATGTAACTCATGTTAAACTTTGCAATGATGGTTTTAACTTATATATTGCTGCTATGAAATTTTGCCTGGTAACATAACAAAAGCAAAACCAAACTAAGTGGTAATTTGTAAAACATTGCTGCCTACATGTTCGTCTTTCACATTCAAAAGGTAAAACACTATATATTCATCTGAACCCAAGGAAAAGTCTGATATTCTGAAATTACACCAATTTTCAGACTGCAGAATTTTAGGCTCAAGAAGCAAACGGCAATTCCAGCCTATAAACATAGACAACCAGGATGTCAGCCGCGTGGCCTGGTGCCACTTCTCTCCAGGAAAGGCAACTTGTGAAACCTGATTAGGAAAACATTTGGGCAAAACAACTTCAGAGAAAAATGAGAGCAAGCATCCAGTCCACATACACTTAAAAACAAAACAAAACAAAGACCTAAACTGTCCCTGGCATCTTATCATGAAGTTACATTTGCAAATAAATAGTCAACACAACATCAATATTAAAATTGTTGACAATACCCATACACCAAGAAGTAACACACACACTCCCCTCCCCAATGCAAAATCAAGGAAGGTCAACATCTTATACTGTGAGTTCTCTCCACGTGAAAATATGTGCACGTATGTATATGAATCAAATAACATATAATCCACATGTATAAACAAAATACACACACATCTATGTACAGAGCCCCCCCCCCCGAACATCCTGTGAAGGCACATGGTGGCCGGGGGTCCCTCCCCAGCCCCACTCCTGCAGCCAGCCCAGACTGCGCCCATAAAGGCTTAGCAGCCACTGGGAAAAGCAGCTGCTTTTCTCCTCTCACCAGTGCTTGGCATTTAAAGTAAAAAGCTATGAGCACATAAAACTTGGCTCTCACTGCCCTGATTTTCAAGACATTATGTTTGGAAGCAACAATTAAGCAAGTAAGGATTCCTCTGAAAGCTAGGCGTCCTGGGGGTAAGGGGACTCTCACTCATACACTTCCAGTATCTACAGTTGTAACTTGCCTGCACAGCAAGCAAAGACCTAGGCTTTCTGTTTTGGGCAGCGCCATGCAGCTTGTGGGACCTTAGTCCCCTAGCAGGGATCGAACCCGGGCCCCTGGCAGTTTGGCGGTGAAAGCGCAGAGTCCTAGCCACTGGACTGCCGGCAATTCCCGGACCTAGCCATTTTTAAGGGAGCTAATTATTTCCTGATAATGACGCTCCCATCACTTAGTAATAAAGAATGGAATGATTACAGGTAACTCAAATTTGCTTTTTAGTAAAGACCACAGGCTCAAATATTGCTTTGTCTACTTTGACCTGTGCTTATAAAAATGCTTTTGAACACAAAGTGTTGGGGGGAGTTGCTTTAAATACCATACCCATGGCTTTAAACATTGCTTCCCTGGGTACCAATAACCAAGTGCCTACCATAGTGCCCAGCACGCAGGTGCGGTTAAGCATTTGAAGAATGAATGAATGAAATCAGACATCCTTTACACATGCTGAGAGCCCCATACTTTCCTTCATGGCACCAATCACACACCGCAGTCATCCATTTAGTGCTGCTATGATAGTCTGCTCTCCGCTGCCAGACGGAGTGCTGCTTGCTGTCTGCCCCACCCTCACTGCGCCCTGGCGGTGCTCACCAAGTGTGAGGTCAGTGCCTGTGGGAAAGAACTGAGGCTGCCACAAGCGTGGAGCGCGTACCACCAGTGGCACACAAGAGGCTAGGTGGTATACAAACATTTTGTATTTTGAGAGCTATACATTTGTTTTCATGCAGGGATATATGACACCAAAGGTGTCATGGATACTAATACTTAGGACAAGTTAAAGGGTTTAAAATCCATATTAAGTAAATTATGGTGCAGCTGTTGCTTCAGCACAGCACAAGTGACACCCAGATGGCACAGCCCGGCCCTCCCAGAGCAGCAGGACAAGGCTGTGCAGCGAGGAGCCCCGGCTTTCGCTTCTCGTTCTGAACCAACTTGCTGGGTTTCCCAGGGAGTCTGTAATTTCCCACTGCTTGAGAACATGATTGTCACCCCTCTTTCTTATAAGGTTTTCAAGAGCTTTAGAACTTTATCATAGTTGAGGAACTTAAGACTAAGAAATCTCTAAGTGTGAAGCACTTTCATTAAATAGATACTGCTTTGATGTAGGAAAAAATTATGCCTAAAGGTAACTATTCCTTGTTACATGTACTAGGTGGTCTAAAAGTGCCTACATCAAGAACAGCATATTTAGACATTATTCTTGAAGATGTTTAATTAAGTGCACAGGTGACATAAATTTAACAGTTTCCATAGGTCTGTGAATTACGGATAAAATACATTCCACTGGATGCCACACCATACCTTCATAGACGTATTATATAATGAAATAAATGAAGTAAAAAGATCCAGGTAACGAGTTGTGAAGACCAGTGCAAAGAGAAGCTGGCTTTTCCCAGAAATACCTAAAGAAACAAAAGGAAAGCATTAGAAATGCCTCCAAGAGCTTTATGATTTTTGTAGACAACACTGTGCAGGAAACGCAGGAATGTGGGACACCAGGGGTCAAGGCTGATGGTCGGGATGACTCTAAATAAATGACAGCAGTTTCAGGTTTTCTTTCCCTTAACATTCTTGAACATAACCGTTTGGGAAGGTTCTAACAACTTTTCTGTCTTACTATGATGGGTGACCATAGAAAGTGACTTAATTATGCCAGCTCCAATATACCAGGATGTGCATTGTTCAAATGAACATTAAACTTCTCAAATATGTCTAAGCAGGAAGAAATTTATTTCAAAAACCCTGCTGTTACTTAGTGTTGTAACTTGTCTGTTACCTTTAGCATCTTTCCATTTTAAAACAATGTCTCGTGGTGACAAATCTTTCGAGGATGGAGCTGGAATCTACCTGGATTAAGGAACCCTGTGGGGGACAGTGTTTCAGGGCAGAGTTTGAGCAGTAATCCTCCTGGATTGGCCTCCCAAGGTGACTTCTTTTGTGAGGGCAGCATTTACTTGGGACAGGTTAAAAACTTTAAAAAAAAGTTCTCTTAGAGGAATCACACAACCAATCTCAGACTCACATAAAAATGCTCCTGGATGCTATGGCAACAAGAGGGTGGGAACCTGCTAGTCCCCCAAAGAGCAGTCTTCTATTGTTTTCACATTTTGAAACTGTTTCTCCCTCCAGAGCACTGTTGTGGCACATGGAGACACAGCCGGGGACATCTAGTAGATCAGGTGGAGTGTACCCGACATCTGGATTTGGCCAAATATTTGTGTGACAACAGACTGAACTGTGGGTTTCAGAGGTTGGAGAAAGAGCGAATTCATTAAGGAAACTGAGTCTTACTAGGTGTCAGAACCGGCCCAACCTCACCTACATTGCAAACTTCACACCATCAGACATTTAAGCAAGTTTGTATTTAGCAGAAATGTCACTGCAGCCAAATCATTAGCAATATTCTTCCAGAATGTGAAAATCACATTGTTTTAAATGATATTTTACAAACAACACTACTTTACAAAACAATTTTAAAGCCTGTTGAAGCGAAAAGCCTGGATCTAAAAATGTTACTTTCTACACATGCATAATTGCAGTTCCAACCTATTCACAAAAATACCTAAATAGAAACCGAAGAAAAAGTTGACTCTATCCCTCTGGATCCATCAGTAGTAACCAATTTCAAGCGCCAAAGGTGGAGATACAGATAGTCAGCCTGCCCCTTCTAGTCTCCAGTAATAGGGACTTTTTTTTCTTATCAAAGATCAGTGTTCCAAAGGAGAAACAATGAGGCTGCCATTGACATAGAGAAGATGGGAGAGCGAAGACAAGATGGGGGAAAAAGGACAGGGAGCATGCAGTTCATGTTTGGTGATTGTTGAAGCCTTGAGTGAGAAATTTCCAGTTCATTTTCTATACGGTTCTTTCCAATATTTTAAATAAAAAATTATGGAATACACATGGGCAAATTTTGTTGTAAAGGGTTTATTCTAATGTCCTCATTTTCGGCATTCCTATACTAAACATCAGGGACTATCATATTGCTTTTACCACTCCCCTTTGGGACCCAATTCACATCACTTCCTCTGGGAAGTCGTCTTTGAAGACACCCTCCCCCATTGCTGTTTATTCACTCAGCAAGTATATACTGGGAACTACTTCATGCCAGCTGCTGCCCTAGCTCCTGTTACAGTGCTTATAAATACACTGTGATTACCTGGTTGCCTGTCTCCCTCTCCCTCAAACCCCCACCAGACACAGAGATCTCCGAAGGCCGGGGTCATGCCTTATTCCACTTCGTGTTCTCTGTGCTGAGCACTGGGCCTGACACACAGCAGGGCCCAGAAGATACTTGCTGAATGAATGAGCAAATGGAAAAAAGAAAATGCAATTCATTTTATTTTCATGTCATGGGGGTAAGCTCTCATTTTATGGTATTTTGGGGTAACACTTCCAAAGAGTTTCTAAGTCATACTGTGTCTCTATGACTGTAAATAGGCGACATGCTCTGGGCTCTGCCCTAATTTACTGCCAGCCAGAGGGTGGGGCAGAGGAGCAGGGGACAGGCAGCGAGTGGCCTGCAGCTTGTCCCGTGGTGCAGACTCCATGCAGGAACTGCCATGCTGGAAACCTGAGTGTGCTTACACAGTTTTACCCTATTCTTCCTGGCCTGGGATCCTGATTAGCAGGTAGCAGCTTTTCCCTTTAAAACAGAAAAACTGTTCTGTCTTCCCGGGAAGGCAGGGATCCCAGCTGAAGACAGATCAGGCAGGGGCAGGAATCTCCTTCCAGGGGGAATACTTGCTATAAGCCAGAGGGGCGCCCACGGTCAGTTTCTGTGTCGAGACCGAAGCATGCGAACGCTATCGGTAACGAGCTCTCAAGAACACTCATTCTAAATGTTTCTGTAACAGCCACATCCCCATACCAAATGCACCAAATACCCAGAGTAAGGAGTATAGCTTGTAAAATGGAAACCAGTCATTAAACTTAACACCATTCCTGTCTTTTCCCACTGGGCCAAGTTAAGTTTAATAAAAGCCTACAACTAAATACTCCACTGTATGTTACTTTAAATTAAGCTGGTTAGAAGCTGCACTTCTCATATTCCCATCGTATTTATAGAACAAAGCCCTCAACCAAAAAGAAAAGCGTTCAATGAATTATTTTTGTCCTGGCAGCAGATGGGATGCAACCAAGCGCTGTGGGTCAGACTACCAGGATAATCTGCATGGCAGCATTCCACAAGGTCCCAGGCACCGTGCTCTGACCCATTGTCTCAAAGGATCCAGATGCTCTCCTAAAGGCCATTAACTTACCCTGGAACCAGCAGCCCAACAGTCAGCACCTGACTCATAACACAGCTCTTGGGACTTGGGGAAACAGAGGCTTTGGAGCCAGAAGGTTTGGGTTCAAGCTCAGCCCTTGAATGCACCAGGTAAGTCAGGGCCCATTACATTCTTGGCCCCCCTAAACCTCACTTTCTGCAGCTGTCAAATGATGCCAAATTGTGGGACTATTGGAAAACGTGGTTTTGACTATACCTGCCATGCTGCAAATGCTCAATAAATGACAGCTATTACTATGTATCGCTTTGCCATCTTTTCTTGTTTTCAGAGAAATCCATGCTATTTTATTAAAAATAACAACTGGACTAACATACATGGAATAAAGATCAAAAGGACCTTTTTCACACCCCTCCCACCTCCATTTTAAGTGCAGTGTTCCAGGCTTTTTGTTAAAGCCGCTTTCCATGTGTGTATTTATATGTGTACCCACACGTTTGCCCCTTAAAATGGGGCCATACCATCTCTCGCTTTACAATTTGCTCTGTTAACTCAGTGTTTCAGATATACCTTCTCCTGTTAATACTTCTGGCTCATTCTTTTTAATGGCTGCATAGTGCTCCATAGTGTGCAGGTACCGACATTTGTGTGACCCTTCCACTAATGGACATTTGGGTTGTGTACAATTTTTGTTCTTATAAAAACATCTTTGTATCTATAAACAGTGTTTTGTATTTATTTATGTACAACAAACATCTTTATACCTATATATAGTTTGTTCACATATATGACAATTTCTGTAGTTCAAATTCCCTAGAAATGCTGGGATAAAATAAACACTTTGTTTTGAAATACTGTCAAATTTCCTCTACATAGGCTGTGCCAATTTACATATTCCTTAACACCAGATGAGAATACGCCTTACTTCACACCCTTGCCTACATTAGATCTTGTAAACCTCTGACTTTTTCCCACCCAGCAGCAAATGATGGCGTGCACTGCTATTTTAATATCCAAGTTCCTAACTACTAGTGAGGCAAGGCATTCTTCCATGTTTAACTGGCCTTCTGTTATTCTTCTGTGAACTGCCAACATTGCCCATTTATCTATCAGATTGTTTTTTTTAATTTGTAGGAGTATTTTATTATGGATATTAACCTTTTGTCACTTAGATATATTGCAGATTACTTCTCTCAGTTTATTATCTTTTAACTTTGATGATATTCTGAATTAGTAAGTTAATTTGGGGAGACAAATCATCTTGCTTCCTCACCAGCCTGCCTGGTCCTATCCAGGACATTGGTATGAACATATATTCAAGGTCACCTTCTATGTCCATGAGCAAAGTTTCATACTTTTCCTCATAGAGGTCTTATACCCTCCTTGTTGGGAAATTAAGGGAGCCTTCCCTAGGGTCTTGCCACTTCACATCCATAGGATTTACTGCCTATATGGTTTGATACCCTGTGTTTTTATCTTTTTATATATGTCTTATTATTTCAACTAAATTGCAGCTTTCTTGAGAGCAGAAACTTTGACAGCAACAAGCTGCTGCTCTGGACTGTGTCCCCAATGCCTTGCACATGGTGGGTGGTCAGTAAGTGAGAGCAATGATTACTCACAAGACTGGCACTCAAAAGAACAAAGGTGACAGCTGCTACCAAGAGGGAGCTGGGAATGTGAGGCAAAAGCTTCCTGAAGTACTCAGTGACAATAAAAGAGGAGGTATTTTCCATGTGCTTCAAAAATATAAACTGTCACAGCAAGGACATACTGTATAGCACAGGGAACTATACTCAGTATCTTATAATAATCTATAAGGGAAAAGATTCTTAAAAAGAATATATATGTATACACATACACACACACACACATATATATATGTATATATATATGAATCACTTTGCTGTACACCTGAAACTAAAACACCGTAAACCAACCACACTTCAATAAACAAACAAAAAAAAAAACAAAAAGAGGGAAAAAACTCTCCACATCTGGAAAAGCAACTACAAAAATCAATCAATCAATCAAAATACCAGACACTGCGTACTACTTAAGACAATTTAAGATGAAATATATTAAAACCTAAAACTTCAACACATTTAAGAGCCAAGAAAATGGCTGCTTTTTGTAAATTAGATACATTCATTGCAAAAAAACTATCTCCTAATAAGTTCAAAATATAAAGGTAAATATATATATATATACATATATACACACACACACACATATATATATAAAAACTGTCCAGTTACAAGCAATGCAGGGACACTGTACATTACAGTCATCTTCAGGAGAATGAAAAGTCTGCAACTTACATGACAACAGCTAACAACAATCTAAGCAATAGGTGGAGGAGGGAAGGGGAGGACTAGGGGACGATGGCTGGGAGCCTTGGAGCTCAGAACTCCACTAGTACTTTAAGCACAATAGATACAGTACTAATAATAACTATCAGCCTACAGGAAAATGTAGATAGGAAATCCTTCACCTACAAACCAAGGCTTGTTCTCCCAACACTACCCAGGTCAGTGTTGAAGACAATAAAGTGACAACTTGAGCATACCGTGGATCCAGCTGCAGTCATAGTTCAGGAAGATGAGGAACTCACACTTCATTTGGGTACCCCTCTGTCATGATAACGGCAGACACCGGAGAATGCCAGTTCAAACTAAACCAAGATCAGCTCCCCTGCCCTCACTTTAAAATAGGTCCTTTAAGGCAGTTGTTCAAGAAAACAGAATCTTCCTCACTCACCTGGTCTCATCCCTTACCCTAAGGAGAAAAAGCCCCGTGGTTCTATAGCTGCAGCTATGTTTGTTTTTATTTACTTGTTTGTTTGTTTATTTATTTATGGCTGTGTTGGGTCTTCGTTGCTGCACACGGGCTTTCTCTAGTTGCAGCAAGCAGGGGCTACTCTTCGTTGCGGTGCGCAGGCTTCTCACTGCAGTGGCTTCTCTTGTTGCGGAGCACAGGCTCTAGGTGCGTGGGCTTCAGTAGTTGTGGCACGCAGGCTCTAGAGCACAGGCTCAGTAGTTGTGGTGCACGGGCTTAGTTGCTCTGCAGCATGTGGGATCTTCCCAGACCAGGGCTCAAACCTGTGTCCCCTGCATTGGCAGGCGGATTCTTAACCACTGCGCCACCAGGGAAGTAGCAGCTGCAGCTGTGTTCAAAACAAATGCCAAAATCCTAAAATGAACCCCAATACCAGTATTTTCAAAGTGAGAAACACAACCTGAATGTACACGTCTCCTATTTTAGTTGAGAACCTCATATCAAATTCTTACTCTTTCAAAAGTCTCTAAACAACTTTAAATTAGGATGGAACAAGGCAGTTAGTCAAATTCAGACTTTAATTCTGAATAAACGATCTTGGTGATTTTGATTTTTACAAGGCCAGGAAATCTCACATATAAGAACTAAAATGATCCTAAGTCTGATAAAGAGGATAGTTTAATAACTATTGGGATACTGGGCAAATGCACACAAACTTAACTCACCTATTCACCTTCCTTATTATTTTGGCTGAAGTATTTTATATTTTCCTAAATGCTCCTAAATCTCCCAAATGAGAACATTTAAAAATGTTCTAAATGAATATTTTAAAACAAACAAAATAGCAAACCTCCTTACTTTCTCCTATTACTCAAGGTTCCCTTAAGAGTTCTACATTCAGCATTGCACTAACTTCTCCCCAACATCTTAGTTTAGATACACATTTAGGAGATCGCGTGCTTCAACATTTAATGACTTGACAGAGAAGGGGATTCTGAGGAACATATGAAGGATAAAGAGATTCATACAAAGATTTTCATACAAAGAGATTCATACAAAAATAAAGATTAACAGTAACATCTTCTGGTGGGGGGATGGGCAAAATGGGTGAAGGTAGTCAAAAGGTAAATCCTGGGGATGTAACATACAGTGGTTAACTGTAGTTAGCAACACTGTATCATATGTTTGAAAGTTGCTAAGAGAGTAGATCTTCAAAGTTCTCATGGCAAGAAAAAATGTAGCTATGTGTGGTGATGGGTGTTAACTAAACTTACTGTGGTAATCATTTCACAATACACATATCAAATTTCTACCTTGTACACCTAAAACTAATAAAATGTTATATGTCAATTACAGCTCAATAAAGCAGGGATTAAAAAATAACATTTCCTGAGTGCAACAGAAAATGTCCTAAACTACTCACCTGAATAATTTTGAATAATTTAAAACAAAATTGTTCAGGCCAAATAGATATTTATTCAAATCCTTAATTGTGAGTTACTGATCACCTGTGTTCCAACCCTGGCACTAATTTTCTCACCTCCCTGAGCCTCAGTTCCCTGGTCCACAGAATGGGGGCAACAGCACTCACCTCATAAGGTTATTTCAAGGACTACACGGGATAAGCCATATAAGGTACTTAGCTCACTACCTAATACATAGCAAGCGTTTAAATGTCAGCTATCACAATCGCTGAAATTACTTCGCTGTCTTTGGAAATCATACAACTGAACCTCTCAGAACTATACATAAATTGAGAGATCACCTCCAAGCCAAACACACCAGCTTCAGTACATGGACTTTGTAACATCCACTTTGATTGCTCAAAGGTCTTTTTTGGTTTTGCTTACTTCCTGGATTTCAGCTATGTTCCAGGGAGACAGGTGAGGCCTGAAGACAGCAGCCAAAGATGTGGTGTTCCTTGACAGGTGAAAATATTTAGAAATCAGTCACGTAAATGGAATCTCTGCCACCCAGGTCCTTTGGGACCCCATCTTTTACTGTCTCTGCAAAAATTAAGCTCTTTAATTCATCAAACGTTATTATACTAAGGCCATGGCATCAAAAATATGTTTAAGGAAGACGCTGTAATTTTAAGAAGTCATTTAAAATTCGCCATTCTTAAGCTTTTAGGGTTAATGAAATGCAAAACCCCGCAACTACTAGCCGGTAAAGATTTGTCTCACTGCCTCCCAGCAGTGTGAGCATGAAATGTGTACTCCAGAGGAGCGAGCCGCCAACTCACTGGTGACGTGGAGTGAGGAATTACAGGAGACCACACGAGACCTCGGCGGTACCCGGCGCCGCGCCGCAGGTTGAAGAGAACCCATTATTAGATGAAGGCACTCGGAGTTTGACAAACTAGATCGTCCCTCAAAGCAGCATTAACTGCCCCAAGAAATTCGCTTAGAGACCTCCCCATACCCCCTCCCGTGGCAGGCGTGATCCTGGACCCGAGAGCTGGCGTGTTAGAGCAGGACTCTAAGGACAGGCCTGCCCGGACACCCTAACGTAAAGGCCAGTCCTCGAAGGGGCAGGGTGGGGAGCAGGGTGACCTCTCCCCACACCAGCCCCACCTACCAGGCTGGGTAGTCTGCCACGTCAGGCCGAGCCGCCGCCGTCCTGCCCATCCTCCTCCCGCGCGTCCCATTGATTCGCGGGCTCTCCGCACCTCGGGACCCCCAGAACAGGCGCTCGGAGAAGCGCCCACTAAAGCCGCGGGCGGAGGCCGCGCCTGCCGGACCCCCGCCCCCCCATCCAAACTTTTCAGAGATAACAAGGCCCCGCGCTGTCCAGTTGGCGCCTCCCCCGCTCCGACGGCTCAAGTTCGCGAGCCGACCAAGTGCAGACCCGGGCCCAGCACCGCGACACCTCACCCCGGCCTGAGCTTCCACCCCGAGGGGCCGCAGGCTCCCCCCGGGCCCCGCCGCCCACCAGGCCGGCCGAGGGGGTGTGTCGGGCCGGCGCAGGCCCGCGGGCCGTGGGGCAGCCGAGGTCGCCTGGTCCTCCCAGAGACCCGGCCCTATGCCCGAGCCTCTCCTGGGCCTCGTCCGCCGCTTACCGGCGCAGGAGCGCGTCTTCCAGATCTTCAGCAGCAGGATGACGATGGCCGCCAGGTGGGACAGGTCCCCGGTCAGCCGGAAGATGTTCATGGCGGCGGCGGTCTGCGCGGCGGCCCCAGGCTCCGCGGCTCAGGCAGCGGCGGCGGCGGCCACAGACAGGAAGCTGCGAAGATGGCGAAAGCGAGCGCGACGTGGCCAGGGACGTGGCCGAACTGCCGGCGCGCGCGCGGGGCAGCTTGGGAGAGCGGACGGCCGCCAGGCCCCGCCCCTTCCCCGCCCCTTAAAGGGGACGCTTCGGGAGCAGACCGGGAGGGCGGGCAGGCTCCGGGGCCCCCTACCCAGGACCCCGACTGCTTGCGAACTTCCCCCTGCCGGGTTTCCGGCTTCCCCTCGGGTGCCAGCGATTTCCTTTAATTTTTGAAATGACACTCCCTTGTGGGGGATTTTTTTTCCCCTCCCACTGATCTTAAGAGCTCTATAGGCTTACTGTATGAAAAAGTATGAGGGGGGAAAAAATTAATGTGATTGCATCACTCAAGATAAGGTGGATATTGGGGTTTCGGGGAGGGTGCGGCTTATGCCGGGATCTGAAGATTTTACCATTCTGGGGACTCTCTTTGACAAAGAGTGTGCAAAATTAGGTAGAAAACGAACATTTCTGTAGGATGTGAAAATAAATCATAAGAAATTACTAACGGAACGAAGCTGACGAACAGGATACGCTGCATAATTTGCGGGGCCCAGTGCAAAATGAAAACGGGGGTTCCCTGATTGTTTAAATGCAGGAAAAAAAAAACCCTGCTGCTAAAGGTTCTAAAATGTAAACCTTTTCCCTTTATTTTGCAGTCTCTCTCGACTTCATGTCATTCTAAGTAAAGAAAAAAGAAGATGTTAAACTATGATCATGAATTTTACCGTTTGTCTTTATATAGAGCCATGTCAGTTTTGAGTGCAAATATCAGAGCATTTAACACGGGTGCGGAATCGCGGAAAGTGTAATTTGTATTTTATGGCTTGTGCATGGAGGGTGCCTGGAGTTGGCCAGAAGAGATGAACACAGGCCAGAGCCAGGAAGGTTGGAAGGAGGAAAAAGGGGTCCCCAGGGACAGTGGAGGCCAAAGGAGCACATCTTTGGGCGTGGGATAATGGATGGGCCAGTGCCACTGCTCCAGTGAGCCAGGGTCTTGCCCTGGACTTGGCTGGAGGACCAACATGGGCCTGATGGCTGCTGGTTCCCTCTCCCTCCAGCTGAGCTTGCTGGGGCAGCGAGGTGAAACCAGGCACCTCCCCTTACCATCCTCTACCACCTCAACCCATGGCAGAGGGCAACATCAAGCGTATTGCAACCTCGGTGCCAGGATACATGAGGTACCTGGATCAGGGGTGGGCACGAGGCTTGCGCCTGCCAGGTTGGCCGCTAAAAGGTGGGACAGCCATCACCATGTCCTGCTCAGAGAAGCCGCAGGGCACACGAGCTCAACCCCACCCACTCTGACCCACATTGCACCTGCACCCTGGCCCCCACGTAAGCAGAAGATGCAGCGGTCACTGGGCAGGAGAGAGAGGAGGAGGCCGGGCTCCCAGGGCACAGGGGAGCAGGCACGCTGAGGGACAAACGACCAGGAGCCAAGACTCCAAGTCTCCGTTGCATGTGCCATTGTCTCATGGGACCTCACTTGCAAAATATAAATCCAAAGGTAAAATTATTAAAAGTTTGAAGAAGATGAGGGTAAAGCATTATGCCTTGGTTATGGGACCTTCTGTCCCTGTGAAAATGCATGAAGTCAGCCCTTCCAACAGATACCACAAACAACACTAAATCCTGAAAATGAAACATGTTTTTATTAATTACCTCACTGGCGCACTTCTGTAATGCTCATTTTTCCTACATTTTTTTCATTGTACACTCTTCAGCCACCTCTTCATAGGACGATGATTTTTTTGTATGTCTGTGTGTTGGGATTAACAACCTTAATAATGCAGAACATTGCCATTTTTTTCTATTTTTTATTGAGATATAATTGACATAAAACATTAGTTTCAGGTGTACGATGTAATGATTCAATATTTGTATATATTGCAAACGATCACCGCAATAAATCTAGTTAACATCCATCACCATGCATAGTTACACAATTTTTTTCTTGTGATGAGAACTTTTAAGATCTACTCTCTCAGCAACTTTCAAATATACAAGACTCTATTATTATAAACGATAGTCACCATGATGTACATTACATCTTCAGGACTTATTTTATAACTGGAAATTTGACCTTTTGACCACCTTTAACCATTTTGCCTAGTCTCACCCCAACAATGATTTGGAAATATTTTCTATAGAGAGAATAGAAAAATTATGTTTTCTCCATCATGGTTAATTGAAAAATGCTTTTGATAGTTTGGAAACATTTCTTTCATCTTCTCAACTTGTTACTGGTAATATCATGGACATTATTAGGACAGTTGTCACATTCAGAAAACCTCAATCAAGTTATTTCATATAAAAGCTGCAAGTTTGGGACTTCCCTGGGGGCTCAGTGGTTAAGAATCCACCTGCCAATGCAGGGAACACGGGTTCGAGCCCTGGTCCCAGAAGATCCCACATACACAGGAGCAACTAAGCTCACGCGCCCCAACTACTGAGCCTGAGCTCTAGAGCCCGTGAGCCACAACTACTGACGCCCACGAGCCAAGAGCCCGTGCTCCACAACAAGAGAAGCCACCGCAATGAGAAGCCCGTGCGCCACAACGAAGAGTAGCCCCTGCTCGTCGCTCGCTGCAACTAGAGAAACCCCACGCGCAGCAAGGAAAACCCAATGCAGCCAAAAATAAATAAATAAATTTATTAGAAAAGAAAAAAGCTCCAAGTTTGCAGGGCGTTTTCTTGCGCAAGGACTAATGTAATACTTTTTGGATTGATGACACTAATTAACTAGCTTGTTGGCACTTCTTGTTGTATTTCATGGTTTTCATACACAAATTCATTGACACTTCCCTTAAGAGGGAAGCTTAATCCCCTCCCCCAACCTTGAATGTGAGCTGGATTTAGAGACTCACTTCTAACAAATAGAATACGACAGAGGTGATGTCATATCACTTCCGAAAGTAGGTCATAAAAGTTCTTCTTGCTTCCTCCTTTCTCTCTCATCAGTCACTCTGAGAGAAGCCAGCTATAGGCCAGGAGGACACACAAGCAACCGTGCGGAGAGGATCACATGGTAAGAAACTGAGTCTTCTTGTAAACAGCCAGCAAGGAACTGGGGCCCGTTGCCAACAGCCATGTGAGTGAACCATCCTGGAAGCAGTATCCCAGCCCCAGTCAAGCCTTTGGATGAATGCAACCTCGACTGATGTCTTAAATGCAACTATTGGGGAAATGTAATTAAAAATAAAATCTCCGGCCAACCCAGTAAAACCTCTGCTCAAAATATAGCAAAGAATACAATAGTTTTGCTATTGAATAAGGATCAAACCAAACTGTGATGTGCATCACAGACAATCCACTAAAGAGATTTTGGACAGAAAGAGATCTCACCCTTTTATTAATATATAGCCAGGCAGACACAACTCGTTACATATATATGAATTGTCTTTGTCCAAAATAAAAGAGAAAACTTATCTTTTCAACAAGCAAGAAGTTATGACTGTGAGCCAGGCACAGTGGCTAAACTCCCACACAGACAGGAAGCCTTGGTGTTTGCATTTCAAAGAGACAGCTCCAATACCCCCCAAGGACAGTCCTAGGATGCAAAACTGGCAAGAGGCTTATTTAGTTTTTAAAAAGATTTACGTGCCTGAAAGAGACAGAGAAAGGAGTTAAGATGACAAGTTTTCTAAAGGAAATGCTGAAAGAAAAGGTGTGTTGGGGGGAGGGTGTTTTTCCCTTTTGGCACCAGAAAATTGTAAACTTTTTAGATTTTTATTTACCTAATCTCATGATATTTCCTGAGCCTGAGGCACCCAGCTGAGCCGCTCCCAAATTCCTTGTCTTCCAAAATACATATTCATTCCAAAATGAATATTTGCTGTTTTAAGATGCTAAGTTTTGGGGTAATTTGTCACCCAGTCACAGAAAACCAGTGCTGGAGTGATACATAAGGCATGCAACTTCATCCAAAGACCCACACGATGTTTGAGTTCCACCAGGGTTTGTGCTTCACACAGAGGTACAGAGGCACTGTGATCATTCTACTTCACTGGATTTCCATGAACGCAAAAATGAATCCTGTGTCCATAACTGTGTACACTGGTTTTTGAATCTATTGACACAGGAGAGATTTTCCATTTTTATGGAGCATCACTGAGAACCCAATCGTCCACCTACCATTTTACCCTCTTACTGGTTGGAAGAACTTTTTGCACACTAGCTTCTGGCCCTCTATACTGCACACACTGTCTGTGCCCCACTAGACACAGAGATGCATCCCCAGCTGCAGAAATGTGGTCAGGATCCAGCTGGCAGCTACAGAGATACTCCTCATCCAACGTCACACCTCACCCAAGCCCACACCTGCTGCCGGAGAGTGAGATGGGGTGTCAAGGCCTGGCCATGTCACCTTGAAGAGGGACATGCTAGTGGACCACACTCAGTCTCAAACTCTGCATCATGTGGCCGTGACTTTCTTGGGCCTGTGTAACCACCGACTTCTCCATCTTCCCAATCCTGCTTCCTCTTCTGCCCTCCACAGGTTCAGATTCCTAATAAACATCTCATACCCCAAACCGTCTTGGTAGCATCTGCTTCTGGAGAACCCATCCCGTGACAGTTGGAGGTGGGGGTCCAAGAAAGCAGGTGATTAGATCCTGGTTGGAAAACTAAGATCCCACAAGCTGCGCAGCACGGCACGGCCAAAAAACACACACACACACACACACACACACACAACCCCCCCCCAAAAAAAACAAAAACCAAAACAAATGTGGTGCTCCAAGGGGCCAAAGGATTGGGCCTCTAACGAGTTGCCAATCAGCTTACACCTGCCTTTCCTGCATGCAGAGCTCTGTTGACACCACACGCTGAGAGCTTACTGAGTGTTTGATCTACCAGCATGGGATCCCCCGTAATACTACAACCCACCGGAGGATCCACTCCTCAGCAAAGGAAGTAGGAAGCGAGCCCATGACCCCTGGAACCGCTGGTGATGTCACACGCCACACCACCCAGAAGCTGCCATCTTGGGGTGACGTGAGGGCACTGCCTGTGGATGGT